CTCAAAAAAAGATTTTTTTTCCCTCACTACCTCCCTGCCTCCCTACCTCATTGCCTTTGCACTTCTAGTTGTTATTAGGTGCCGTTGAGTCGGTTCTGACTCATAGCGACCCTATAGGGCAGAGTAGAACTTCCCCATAGGGTTTCCAAGGAGCAGCTGATAGATTTGAACTGCTGACCTCTTGGTTAGCAGCCAAGCTCTTAACCACTATGCCACCAGGGCTCCCGTCTTTGCACTTGGTGTCAGAAATATGCTTGTTCTTTTGAAATTAGACTTCCACTTATGGTACCTAATATAGCATTCTTATTTATATAATTTAAATTTCATTCTAATTTACGTGATTTACCTGTCATTTAGTCCAGACGCCACATTTGCAGATGGTCAAACTAAGACCCAGAAAATTTTTGATAAACTAGAACTTATCCCCTTTTTTTCTCTGCCAGTTTTAAGAAAAGATAAGCTTGAAACTGATTGAATTGAACAAAGGTCAATGAAGTTACCACAATAGCATTTATTTATGTTGTTGCTATAGTTACCATTTGTTGAGTGCTTGCTATGTTCCCAGTCCCTGTTCTGAATGCAGGTAAGAGTCATCCTCATTCTGTAGAGAAGAAAACTAAGGCATAGAGAGGCTAAGTAAAATTGCCGAAGGTCACATGAGAGTAAGTGACGCAGGACGGTGGATAAGAGCCAGGCTTATGGAGTCACATTTGAAAATTGAAACCCAGCATTTCTATATGAATAGCATTTTCTGGATTGATCCTGTCTAGCTTCTTCGTAAATAACCCATTGGATAGCCGGTAGACGTCCCATAAGATGCAGCCTTAATATAGTGTCTATTGTTTTGTAATCTACGTAGGATTTTTTTCTCTTTAATGTTCTATAAAGTTCTATAATTCTGAGCCAGAAGGAATTCTTTAAGATGAAATGATTCACCCCTTTGAGAAAGGAACTTTCCCCAGATCTTAAAGTCAGTTAGCTGCAGAATTAGAACACGTGTCTGCTGATTCTCCATCCAGTGCTTTTTTTCACTGTACCAGGCCATTTTCCTCTTGTAAGCTGTTTCGAATATTACAGAAGTGGAAACGCCAACTTCTCCCTTCTCCCCCTTTCCTTGCCAGATAATGTAGTTGTATATGCCTTTGCTGAATAAAAAAGTGTGAAGCTGAAGTGATCATTATTTAATAAATGTAGCATGTCTGACAGATACCATTTGTCATGATGGCAAAGGGGAACATAATATAAAGGCGTCCCTGGCTGAAGAGTGCTGGTGGCAGTGGTGGCCAGCGGGACATAGAACTCAAGGAAGACATCTTCATAATTCACAGGAAGCCTGAGGCTGGAGATCTTATTCTCGGAGTTCTCTTGCTTCTAATAGGAAATCCTCTTTTAGACCATACTCTCACATTCCCACATAGGAGGATCCCAGTGTGGAAATGTCATTAATGGAGGACCTGTAGTTGTGAGAAAGGAAAGAGGGAAGGAAGAAGAACTTTCGAGATGCTGCATCATGGTTTTGTATGTGAGCTTCAGGACTCAGGTGGTCAGATGTCACCTATTTTTCTCCAGCTGCCTTCCAGGGTCCCTGCCCAAGTGTGGCTCTCAATATATTGGGGCTGGAGAAATTTACCACTTCAGTCATTTTTTTTTAACAAATAATGTACTGAGCATTAGGCACTGTGCTTGGTACTAGGGGTCGAAAGATGAGTTAAGAGACACCACTCCTGCCCTCACAGAGTGCATAGACCAGCAAGAGGAGATATGAAACATATCCTGTATTTTCTCCATTCTAAAATGCTTTTTCTTAATACTTTAATTTTTCTAAAATCAGGGATTTCTTGCAATTACTGTGTATATTTAATGTGATAATGTCCCCTCCACTTTTTTTCCCCTTCTGTCCAATTTTAAAGTGCATTTTTTAATCTATGGTGCCTTTGAATCAAAAAATTACAGTAGTTCAATAAATAATCATACTTATAATAAGGAAAAATATAGGGCATAATGAGCCCTATTTTAAGGAAGTGCTTTTTTTCTCCATCTTAGACTCTAGGCTGCTAATTCTCAAATGGTAGTGTATGTGAGAATCACGTGGGGACCTCACTAAATACATGGGGTATGCTAGTTTTGACCCGTTAAATGATTTAGGACTCACAAATGGTTTGCCCCCTATTGTTTGGAAAATGTGCAAAGACCTGGAATTAGAAAACCAAAGGGAAGAACACACTCAGGATTTCTCAAGCTGAACTGAAGAAAAAAATTCAAGCCTCGAGTTGCAATATTGAAGTATTGGAGGAAGGCTTATTAACAACCTCTGATATGCAGATGACACAACCTTGCTTGCAGAAAGCGAAGAGGACTTGAAGCACTTACTAATGAAGATCAAAGACTACAGCCTTCAGTATGGTTTACACCTCAACATAAAACAAAAATCCTCTCAATGGGACCAATAAACAACATCGTGATAAATGGAGAAAATATTGAAGTTGTCAAGGATTTCATTTTTCTTGGATCCATAATCAACACCCATGGAAGCAACAGTCAAGAAATCAAATGATGTATTGCATTGGGCAAATCTACTGCAAAAGACCACTTTAAAATGTTAAAAAGCAAAGTTGTCACTTTCAGGATGGCAAGCTGTGCAATGAATAAGGAAGACCAATGAAGAATTGATGCCTTTGAATCATGGTGCTGGCGAAGAATATGGAATATACCATGGACTGCCAGAAAACGAACAAATCTGTCTTGGAAGAAGTACAGGCGGAATGCTCCTTAGAAGCGAGGATGGCGAGACTTTGTCTCACATACTTTGCACATGTTTTCAGGAGGGCCCAGTCCCTGGAGAAAGACTTCATGTGTGGTAAAGTAGAGGGTCAGTGAAAGAGAGACCCTCAAAGAGATGGATTGACACAGTGGTTGCAATGATGGGCTCAAACAAAGCAATGATTGTGAGGATGGCACAGGACTGGGCAGTGTTTTGTTCTGTTGCACATAGGATTGCTGTGAGTCAGAATTGACTTGATGGCACCTAACAATGACACTGCTTTAAAGGAAACCTGTGGGTTCCTGCCAGCCATTTTCTCTCTTTTCCTCCCCTCCTCCTTTCTTCCAGCCACTCATATATCCATCCATCCATCCATGTACCCACCCACCCATACATACATATATCCATATATCCATAGGTCTTTTCATCATTCAGCAAGCATTCACTGAGTACCTGCTGTGTATCTATGAGCTGATCATAGATCTCATTGTCTTCTTTCTTTTAAATCCACTGTATTTTGGAATAACTTTAGATTTACAGGAAAATTGCCAAGTTAATATAGAGTTCCCGTATACCCTCTTTTAGTTTTAGTTTTTAGCATTATCACCGTACATTACCATGTACATTTGTCAAAGCTAAGGAACCAAAATTAGAACATTACCGTTAACTAAACTTCAGGCTTTATTCATATTTCATTAGTTTTTCCATTAACACCTTCTTTCTGTTCCAGGGTCCACTCAAGGATACCACATTGCATCTAGTTGTCATGTCTCTTTAGTTTCCTCTAGTCTGTGACAGTTTCTCAGACTTTCCTTGTTTTTGATAACTTTGACAGTTTTGAAGAGTACTGGTCAAGTATTTTGTAGAATGTTCATCAGCTTAGGTTTATCTGATGTTTTTCTCACGATTAGACTGGGCTTACGGATTTTTAGAAAGAGTACCTACCACTGAGGTAAAGTACCCTTGTCATCACATCATATCAAGAATATATGACATCACTGGTGATGTTAACCTTGGTCATTTGGTGAAATTAGTGCTTGCCAGATTTCTTTCTCTACTATAAAGTTATAATTTTTTTTTTTTTTTTTTTTTGGAAATGAGTCACTTAGTCCAGCTCACCTTAAAGGAGGGGAAGGATTAAACTCCACCTTCTAGGGGGGAAAGAATCTACCTGTATTGTTTGGAATCTTTCTGTAAGGATGAGTTGTCACTTCTCCCATTTGTTTTTTTGTTCATTCATTTTTTGGTGTCAGTGTGGTCTCACATATATTTATTTCATAGTTTGGTTTATAATCCAGTATTACACTATTTATTTTGTTGTTCAAATCGTTCTAGCTTTAGCCATCGGGAGCTCTCTTAGGTTGGCTCCTGTGTCCCTTTGACATGCCCCCCATACTTTTGGTTTGTGAACACTTCCTTACTCCTAGCACTACAAAAAGATGCTCTAGGGTTATCTCATATTTTCCCTGCTCCAGCCCTAGAATCAGCCATTTCTCCAAGAAACCCTGATTCCTTTTGTTGGAGAATGGCATTTAGAAACCAAGATCTGGGTGCTGGGTGCTCATGGTCTTCTGAGAGGAAGAGGACCAAAAAAAGTGAAAAATGTTATATGTAATGCACAAAGAGCAATGGAAGCATAAAGGTCAGGGTGACTACTTCTACTTTGTGAAGTCTTCACTGAAGAAGCGGTATTCGAAGTTGAGTAGTTTTCCAGATGGAGATCAGAGCTGGGGGGCAGTAGAGGAGGGAGGAGATGTATGTTAGCAATATCAAAGGTACCTGGCCTTTTAATTTGATCTGACTATAGACTTATAATGTAGTGGCCCTTCTTTGATTTTTCTCATTACATAAAAATTGGCAATTTTCACAGATTAAAATTCACAGTTTTCACAGTCTCTTAAGTGATGATTTTCTCTAAGTAAACCCTGACAGTTGACTGTCTTCTTCCCTTCCCTATCTTTCTTCCAATCTTCCTTCTAAATGTATCTAGTTCTTACTGTATGCCAGGCCCAATGCAAGACACAGAGGGTCTAGAGAAGAATTTGACAGCTCCTGCCATGACAGGTTCTACAGTATGAGATCCTTCTGCTTTCTTCTCTTCCCCTTAGCCCTTCACCAAGTGTCTAATTTTTAATGCTTTGCAGAACAGCATAAAAAGGGACAGGGAAATATTATCAATGTCTGTATTGTGAATCTGACATGATTCTTGGCTCACTCTGAAAGTCTTTTCTGTTCACAGATAACAGTTGGTGTATATGATCCTTGTAACTTAGCCCAGTACCCTGGATGGCCTTTGAGGAATTTTTTGGTCCTAGCAGCCCACAGATGGTATTTACACGTGTGTGTGTCTGTCTGTCTATGTCTATGTTTTTGACAGTGTATCTGCCTATGTCTATATCTTTTTCTCAAATGCATTTTTTTCATAGGAGCCAGATAATAATAAGTCAGGCATCATCCAATTTCCATCAGTCCATCAATGGTGAGCCCTTAACCAGGTCTTTTATGGAGCTGCAGACTCTGATCATACTGTACTAGTGATATTTTAGACTGCAGCAGGGTGAATAGTCAGAAGTCCTGACACTGAAATTCTTTGGCCCTCCCTCCCAGCTGTCTCAGTTGCTTTCAGATAGGATTTCCCTGTTGCTACCAACTTCTTTTCCTAACCCTATAGAAACTAAAACAGAGAGTATCCAAAAGGCTAATTAATGCACAGTTAAAAATATGCTCAAGGTCATTAGTCATTAGGAAATAAAATCATAATGAGATATGGTTATATACGCTCCAATATGACTTTAAAAAAAAAAATGACAGTACCAAGTGTTGTCAAAGATGTGGAACCATTGGAACTCTCAAACACTGCTAGAAAACTATTTGGCAGTATCCACCAAAGATACAAACACCTATGACTCAGAGATTTTACTCTCAGGTATATAACCCTCAGAAATGTATATGTAGGTACAACCACAACACATGTACAAAAATGTTTATAGCAAGCAGCATTGTTCATAATAGTCAAAAACAGGTAATAACCCAGATGTCCTTCAGTGATGAAATGGATAGTAAGTTGTGGTGTGTTCATTGCAATGGAATGCTGTATTGCAGTGTTTAATCTGAATGTAATGTTGATACATATATTAACATGAATGAATTTCAGAAATACAGTGTTGAGAGAAATAAGCCAGATGTAAAAGACTCTTTGATTCCATTTATATCAAAAGTTAAAAAACAGACAAAAGCAACATAAGGGTTTAGAAGTTGGAGTACTAGATACTCTTAAACGGGGTAGTTAATGACTGGAAGGAGGCATGACACAAGCTCCTTTTTACTTAGGGTTTGTGTACTTTTCTGTATGTCTTCTCTACTTAAGTAAAAATGTTTACTTAAAAGAACTAAAGAAAAAAATTATAGTTGTCCCCAGAGGGAGAATGTTATGTATCTACTCATCCAGGTGGTACATCTGTGTAGGACAAATGGACTTCCTAGTTACTGACTAAGGTGCTATTTCATAAAATGTGATTTTAGATGGGAGAGAGTGAACTGGAGGACTCAGGCTTAGACGTTCTTTTTAAATGTCTTGTGAACTTGAGTTTTTAATTTTGTTTGTTTGCTTATTTTTGCTGCATTTAACGCTTTATTTGTCAGAATTATGTGCACTGTGATTGCTATATAAAATTCACCTAGAAAGAAATCACAGCCAATTCCATTTTCAGCCTCTAAACACTTGGGCGTGGAAGCCTATATGGATATAATCAGAATCTCTCAAAGGTTAAGGCTATTCCCTGAGGGTGCCAGAGAGGCATAATTAAAATGAACTGAATTCTGGCCAGCTGGGTTTGCTGAAGCTCTGATGTGAAGTCTTTCTTTTTCTTCCTTAAAAAAAAAAAAAAAAACCCAAACCCGGTGCCTGACCACAGGAGTAGCCATTTCCAGTCCGTGGAGGTGCTCTGCTTTCGGGACCGCACCATGCAGGGAGTGAGAGACATCGCCCACAGCATCGTGTTTGAAGTGAAGCTTCCAGAAATGGCGTTTAGCCCAGGTAATTCTCTGGTGTTTGAGAATGCGTGTAATTATCACTTATCAGAAACCAGATCAGGTTTAGTTTCTTTTTATCTCTTCACAATGAAGGGGGTCGGAGTGCGACTCTTCCCTCTTTGCCAGCGTGAACACCTCCTTTGAACAGAGGGCACCCTCAGCTATTCAGACGGGAACAACGGCGAAGATTGTCGGCAGAACATTTTCTTCAGGCAGTTTTCTCAGTCTTGAGGATTTTTTTTTAACCTAGTTTTTGTGTTTATTTAACACAAAAATCTTTATTCCTGTCCCTTCTTAAAGGAAGGATGAAGTATTAATACAGTTACACATTTATTTGTTGCATATAGTTGTATATGATCCTTTTCTCTATATAGTAAACCTTTCAGCAGAAGTACCACTTCTGCTTCCACATTTCAGATTCGTTATTTGATCTCTGTGTGGTAAACATCAGCCGATGTCCCCATTTAGTAATTTAGGAAACTTAGGCTCAAAGAGACATTTTAGATATATAGATACATGCACGTGTGAACCCACCCAGAGGCTCCACGGAAGAAAGTCCTGGCGATCTGCTTCCAAAAGGTCACAGCCTTAAAAACCCTATGCAGCAGTTCTAATCTAACACATACAGGGTTGCGATAAATTCGAATCAACTCATGTATCTGTGTGTATGTATGTATGTTGCTATTAGTTGCCATCAAGTCAACCCGATTCATGGTGACCCCATGTGCGCAGAGTAGAACTACTCCATAGGGTTTTCAAGGCCATGACTTTTCGGAAGCACATAACCAGGCCTTTCTTCGGAGGCACCTCTGGGTAGGTTTGTACAGAAAACATTTTGGTTAGTAGTTCAGCATCTCTACCACCCAGGGCGTGTATATATATACGTATACGTACGTATTTATATATGTGTCACAGAGGCATACTTAAGTTTCAGTAAAATAAGGATAATAATACCTACCTCACCGGATATTGCTTATAGGGAGTCTATGTCCTGTGTAAAAGACAGAGTACAATGTCTGGCCTATGATAGGTCCTTAGTAAATGTTCATTTCTGTTTATTTATTTCTTATCTCATTCAAAGCCTGGTGCTTTTGCCACTCCTAAGAGTGTTCTAAGACATCCCCTCCCTTAGATTTCTGTGATTTATATGCTTTTTAAAGTACCTTCACATAGTGTTAAAATCTCTTCTGAGATACCATTTCTAGAGTGCAAAAGTCAAAAGGATTCAGGATTGGCTCTGATGACATTTTATAAGTGATCATATCTGTAGACTTCTCAGCAAGATTGACCGAGTACTCTGCTTGATCAGTCAAAGGAGGACACTATTTGCTTTTTAGTTAAGAGCCTTAAGAAATCCATTGCCTTTCTGCTGTCTTTAGATATTTGCATTTGATTTAGTGCCCTCTTCTGGCATGTTCTAAAATAGCTTCTGTATAATGGTAACTTGGAGCCCTGGTGGCGCAGTGGTTAAGAGCTTGGCTGCTAAACAAAAGGTCGGCAGTTCCAACCCACCAGCCGTGTCTTGGAAACCCTACGGGATATTTCTACTCTGTCCTGTAGGGTCGCTATGAGTTGGAATTGACTTGATAGCAACGGGTTTGGGTTTTGTATAATGGTAACTTACGTGACGTACCTTTCTTGTATTAAACTACAACTTAAAATTAGTTTTAGGGGAATTAAGTGAGTACTAACAAACAAGTACTGAGTACCTGTTGTATTCCAGGCAGGCCACTAGGCACTTTCCACGTGTTTCTTGTTTAATCCCTGTCGGGGTGGGGGTGGGGGTGTGCTGTTTTCTTTCCACTTTTATGATAAAGCTGCTGAGTTACTCTTACTCCCTATTCCCCATGATTCGGCTAATACTTTGTGAGGCTGGTGTGCAAACCAGGAAATGCTGTACATTTTCATTTGAAAAAGACGTTTTCTATTGTCTAATAATGCCTTCAATATGTCTTGTTTATGGTTGATGTTGAATATAGATTATTTAATTTAAGAAAGGCAAATTTTCTTTTTTCATATAAATTAATTTTTCCTTAAGTGTAAATAAAACTTTATATTATTTAGGAACTCAGGGTGTGATTCTATATAATAATGTGAACTGAAGATATTAGTATGGGAATACTTTTTAGTATTTCTGAGACATCCCATGATTGCAAGGGCAGTTACTATAAGAAGTATTATTTTAAATATCTTACATCTTCTTTTGCTCCCTCAAAATGCAGCCAAGGCCACCGTCTATAGCTGATAGAAAGAACATTCAGGCAGTAAACACTGCCTGGAATAGAGAGAGGTTACCTCATCTTAACCTCCTGTCCTTGATGTGGTTCTCCTAGTTGCCCAACCTTAGCAAAAGAGAACCTAATTTTCCCCTAAAAAAAATTTCCTCATTAAATTTTTGTTGTTGTTAGTTGCCGTTGAGTCAACTACCTCATGGCAACCTTAATGTATAATAGAGTAAAACATTGTTCAGTCCTGAGCCATCTTCACAATCCTTGGTACGCTCGAGTCCATTGTTGCAGCCACTGTATATTGTGAGTACCTTCCAACCTAGGGGGCTCATCTTCCAGCACTGTATCAAACAATATTCTGCTGTAATACGTAGGGTCTTCACTGACTACTTTTCAGCAGTAAATTGCCAGGCCTTTCTTCCTAGTTTTAGTCTAGAAGCTGTGCTGAAACCTGTCCACCATGGGTGACCCTGCTGGTATTTGAAATACTGTGGCATAGATTCCAGAATCATAGCAACATACAAGCGACCATAGTATGACAAACTGACAAACTCGTTAAATTGGAGTATGTCTTATGGATGTGAATTACATGGAGGCAGATATGATAGATTAAATACTATTGCCATATATGGTATTTCTTTTCATTATTGATAAAAAAATTAAAGTATATCTAGTTGTCTCAGAAATGGCTATAACATGAGTAAAAAAGATGTTTTCTGAAATGCATTTTGTTTTTGTATCATAATTTCTTATCTTTATAATAGGAGGAAGCTTAGACTGGAATTATTAATTACAGTACTAGATTGTGGTTCTATAGTTCTTGACCAGATTCTATGCTATGTATTAAAGAAGCATTTTTTATGTAACATGAGATTAGTAAAGAAGTCAAACAAAATATGAATTAATTATAGGTTTGAACTCTTTTTTTTCCCCAGAAAAAGAATATTCAAGTCTTAAATGCCTTAAGAACTCAAATCTATTACTTTAGTGGTAATTTTCCCTGGCATAAAAAGGACCACACCAGGTGCCTGAGCTCAAAATGGTTTATTGCTGGGAATGATGGCTCCAGCCAAATTGGGGCCCCCGAGGAATTTTCAAAGATAATTAACCCATGATTTCCAGTCGGTCATCCTATCCCAGAAAGAAAAGATTGTTTAAACAAAATCAACACCTTCTGAGTTCCATAATTATATTGAGCAACACTATTTTAAAAACCAAAAGCTAAAAAGTTCCCAAGGAAAGGAAAATAGAGATGTTGATAGAAATCTAAAAATAAGGAGACTGGCCAAACAAAACCAGTGCACAAGTAGAAACGAACACAAAATTCCTCCTAACACTCCTGCATATCTTAATTTTAAGTCGAGGTGTTTCTGTTCCTGCAGATACTGGAGGTTATGCTGGAAGGGTAGGCTGTGGCTGAGTGAAGCAGCACCTAGAATTCCTTGGTAAGGAGTTGAGGCTTTAAAGTAATCAGTGTGGATTCAGCGAGAAAGGGAGAGAGGCAGAGGCTCTGAGAAGTAGGGAGTGTGAGATAGTGGGTGGCCCCATTAGCAAGATTTATATGGCTGTGGTCTTACTAAGTAGAGCCAGGCTTCAGTTAAGGTGAAGAGGTGGCAGGAGTGTTCAACAAAACAATTGAGATTTTAAAAACAGTTTTCCAACAATAGAATAGAGCAGCATTTCCCTGAATGTGTCTGATGAAATACTAATTGGTGTGATGGGGCAAAGGAGGGAGATATGGAGAGCCAAGTAAGTTTGGGAAACAAAGCCAAATAAACTGGTGTGTTTACTGTAGGCTTCTCAGAGTGTTTATCTTTCTGATGTGCAATATGAATCTCCAGATTTGGGTGAGGGCAGGGGTGGATATAAAATATAGAAGCATTTTTCAAGCATATTTAAGCCACAAGATTCTTATTTTCTGTTGGAATTGGAGTTACAGAGGCTACTGTTGTTGTTGTTGTGGGCCATCAAGTTGATTCAGACTCATAACAACCCTATATGACAGAGTAGACCTGCCCCATAGGGTTTCCTAGGCTGTAATCTTTATGGGAGCAGATCACCAGATCTTCTCTCCCATAGAGCCGCTGGTGGGTTCAAACCGCTGACCTTTCAGTTAGCAGCCAGGCACTTAACCACTGCATCACCAGGGCTCCTTGAGGCTACCATAGCAGGGGTTAAAAGAGAGGTCAGTGGGGAAGGGATAAGTTAGGGAAAGGGGAAGTCTGAATGGATAAGGATGAGCTTAAAGGAGAGGGCAGTTTAACAGGGAGACAGTCACCTTGGACTGTGACCTGCACACAGGTGCACAATGAAGGAGTTGTGAGGCTGAGCAGAGGGACATGGTAAGGAGGGGGACAAAACGGACCTACTAAACTCACAAGTTCCAAATCCCAATAGGAGCTTCAGTGGAAGGTGGGCTGCAGTCACATCAGCTTGCCTTCCTTTGACAGAGAGGCCTCACATGGCAATACTTACCACAAATATGATTGTCGTGTTTTGAGCAACTTCTGGTAACTGCAGAAGTTGAGGTATGTTTAGCCAGAGTTGAGGGCTATTTCAGAAACCCCTTTACAAGAAGACTGTGCTTGGGTACGATGGCCTCTAAACAAGATTTCTAGTAGCCAGAGATGATGGGGAGGCAACCGTGGCAAGTAGGTGGAACTTCAGGCCTGCTAGACTCTTTGAGAAAGAAGTAAACTAAAAGCTTATCAATGCGTGGACCGTTATGAATGTTGATCTTTTTAAAGTAAGCTTTGTGCTTTACTTACTTGTTTTTAGTCTTCCCTTTTTCATTAAACTTGTTGTTTTGTTTCCTTAAGATTGTCCTAAAGCAGTCGGATGGGAAAAGAACCAGAAAGGAGGCATGGGACCAAGGATGGTGAACCTCAGTGAGTGCATGGACCCTAAAAGGTACACTTGGGAAGCTGTTTTCCACATTGGGGCTTTTTGTAACCAGGACACACGTCAGGTTCTGTCAGGGCGGCTGCATCACCCAATTCCAGGGGGTGCCATTCTCACTGATGAGTGTTATCTTACTCTTCGCTGCCTTATTCTGAATTTAAGTTTGTCAGACTCTCAGACCTGTACATCTGCACCAAATTTTAGTCCTTACTCACTGCCTTTAGCTTTGTGCTGTGGGGTAACACCCAAGAACATGATCAGGAATATTTCACAGAAAGCAGTATTGTATTTAAGGGAGGATGCAAGTGCACCCTTTACTGAGGAGGCATGGAAGAAATCTCTCAGTTTTCAGTACTAGGAAAAATCTTCTGAGGCAGCTGGTACGTTTTTATTCAAGGACACAATGACTCTTACGGAGCCCTGGTGGCCAGTGGTTAAGAGTTCAACAGCTAACCACAAGGTTAGCAGTTCAAATCTACTAGCCATTTCTTGAAAACACTATGGGGCAGTTCTACTCTGTTCTATAGGGTCTCTGTGAGTCAGAATCGACTCAGCGGCAATGGGTATGACTCTTATAACTGATCATAATTCCCTTTTCACCTTGGCTGCTAGGAGTGCAGTATCAAATGTGTAGCCCACCACTAGCAGTTGTCAAGGATTATGATGGCATGCAAGGAGCCCTGGTGGTGTAGTGTTTAAGCATTGGGCTGCTAACTGAAAGGTCAGCAGTTCAAACCTAACACCATTCCACGGGAGAGAAGACCTGGCGATCTACTTCTATAAAGATTTCAGCCTAGGAGATATTATGGGGCAGGTTCTACTCTGTCTTATAGGGTGGCTATGAGTCGGAATCAACTGGACAGCACACAACAACACAGTGGCATGTAATCTGTGTGCAGTCTCCTCTCCACTTACCCAGAAGCTTCATCCTATTCCCCCTTTGATCCCAATTTCCTCATGATTTGTTTCCTGTTTGAGGACAAGATTGGGGTATCAGCAGGTGACTGGCTGAATTCATTTTCTAGGTTAGCTGAGTCATCCGTGGATCTGAATCTCAAATTGATGTGTTGGAGATTGGTCCCTACTTTGGACTTGGACAAAGTTGTGTCTGTCAAATGTCTGCTGCTTGGAGCCGGCACCTTGGGCTGTAATGTAGCCAGGACACTAATGGTACGTTGGCGGGTGCCCAGTGGTGCCTTCGACACTGTTGCTCCCCTTCTTGTTTTATTGTACATGATTGCCTCAGTCTCCCAGATTCATCCTTCCATGCCCTCTCTTCCTCCTTCCTTCCCTCCCTCTCTCCCTTCCTTCTTTTTCTGTGTCATTTTAATTATAAAAGTAATACATGCTTTTATTATAAAAATTCAATCAAAACAGGAGTGTACAAGGTCTCCCTCCACCCCCATCTGGAGTCCCATTTCCCAGAATTAACCAGTCTTCATAGATTAGTATGCCATATATTTTTCCTAGACATTTTTGTAGGCATGTACACATATATAGAGAGAAGTCTGTTGTCTTTATTATTTATTTATTTATACTTAAAAAATTGGATCGTACTCTGCATACTGTCTACAACAGGCTTTTATCTTTAACTTCAGAAAAATAATTCTGGATATCTTTCTATATATTCCATATTATATATACATAGTGTTTTCTTATGTGACTAGATCCTCAATTTATTTAATCAATTTTAGGTTATTTTTCATTTTTTAATATTAGAGACTATGTTGAAATGGACATTTTTATACTTGTATGTTTTTCATATCTGTGTTAGAGAGAATGTGTAATTTATGTACGTATATTTTTTCAAACTAAATTACCTTCTAAGAATATTATACTCCTAGAAACAGGACAGAGCTTTCTCCTACCCTCTTGCCAAATTGAATATTATCAACTTTTTAGTCTTCGTCAATCCAGTTGATTGAAAAGTAACATTTCATTATTGTAATTTAAATTTCTTTGATTAGTGAGGATGAGTTTTTAATTTTTATTTCTTATGTGAATTTTATTTCTTCTATTCACATACTTTGGGTTGTGTTTCTTTTACTGATATGGCATGATTTTTTTATCATGGATATTAACCTTTTTTCTGTAATATGATGCAAATATTTTTCTCAATTTATTTAAGGTGTCTTTAGCCATATAAAACAAAAAAAAAACCCAAACTCATTGCTGCCAAGTCGATTCTGACTCATAACGACCCTACAGGACAGAGTAGAACTGCCCCATAGTTTCCAAGGAGCAACTGGTGGATTCAGACTGCTGACCTTTTGATTAGCAGCCAATCTCTTAACCATTGTGCCAGTAGGGCTCCTGTAGCCATGTATAAGTTTTTAATTTTTATATTATTGAATATGTCAGTCTTTTTCTTTATGGTTTACAGAACTCTTGTCTTTTTATGTTTAGATCTGTATCAATGTGGAATTTATTTTTTTATATAAAGAGAGGTAAATATCAACTTTTTCCCACAAAGTGGGTAATCAGTTGTTTTAATGGCATTTATTCAATAATTCAAATCATCTTTTCCCACCTTTATCAAATACTAAATCCTCTTATATACCTGGGCTTCTTTCTGGATTCTCTTTTTTGTTCCATTGACCTATTTATTTATTCCCACACTCCTACTCACTGTTTTAATTGAAATTACAGTGAATCTGTAGATAAGCTAGAAGGGACTGACATTTTTACAGTATTGATCCATAGTGTCAGAAGTATGGTATATTTCTTCATTTATTTGCATCATCTTTGTCTTTCAGTAGCATTTTCTTTATGTAGGTCTTGCACATGTCTTATTTAGTTTATTTCTACATATTTAATTTTTTTTTTTCTTTTAGAGGTATTTTCTCCCATTAAATTTTCCAGTTCACTATTGCTGGTATATAAGAAAGATACTGAGTTTTGCATGTTTATCTTTTCTCTGGCTATCTTTCTAAGCTCTCTTAGTTCTAATAGTTTTTAAAAAAAATTTTTCAGTTGATTAGTATTCTACACTAATATTTATATGTCTTATTTCTTTTCCTTGTCTTAATAGGATTGGCTAGAACTCCATAGTAATGTTGAATAACAGCAGTGAGAGTGGACATCTTTGTTTTGTTATTTTGAATTTAATGAGAATGCCTGTTGGGTTTACCTTTAACTTTTGTATTTGATATCAGTTTCTGCTAAATGCTCTTTATGAGTTAAAGAAACTGATGTCTGTTTCTAGCTTACTGTGAGTTTGTTTATATTAGAAATAATTGTTGACCTTTATCAAATACATCTATCAAGATAATTAAAATGTTCTAATGTTGAACATTTCTAGAATAAACCCTATTTGTTCATGGTATTTTATTCTTTCAATATGCTATTTGATTCAATTGGTAAATTTGTAATTTTTATTTCTGTATTCTTAAGTCAAATCAGTCGATAGAAATGTTTTTTCTTTGTAGTATCCTTGTAGATTAGCTGGTTTATGCTAGCTTTATAAAATAAATGGAAAGCTTTCCCTCCCACTAGGGAAGGCAGCATATACAGACCAACCCCATTGACTTTGGGTCCTTGTTGACTGCCCATCCCTCTGGAGTCATCAGCCTGAATAAGTCTCAAAGTCCCTAATGGAAGAATATTGAAATATGAGAGAGAATAGAATCTTAGTTTTGTAGCCAATGATGTAGGACTTCTCTTGGATCACTGGATCGCTATACTTATTTTTGATCTACTAGATATACCAAAAAAAAAAAAAAATAGACATCTTCATTCTGTCCCCGCCATTAACCAACTGGGTGACCTTAGGCAAATCACTGATCTTTTCTGAGAGTGTGTTTCCATATTTGTAAAACAAAGGGATTGGACTAAGGAGTTTACAGATTCCTTCCAACTTTAAAATTTTGTGGCTCTATAAAACTTTATAAGAGATGGCATTTAAGTCTATAAAATCATGAAAACTATTTCTGAGAATATAGACTTATCCCCCAAATCACAGATAATTAATAAGGCTTTTGCCTCTTAGAAAAATAGTAGAGACTATTGTGCAATGCTACAGAATGGGAAATAAGCTATAAGCCATTTTTTTCTGAGGAGTTATTTCAGGCTTTAAATGAGTTTCAAGAGGAGTTGTTATTTATACTCAATTATACATTAGGGGAAGCCAAAAAGACATTTGGAGGCTGTTGCTAATCCTTTTAAGACAGCAAAATAGACAGTTCTTATGGGACTCACCTCCAAATCCTTCCCTGGTGCCCCTGTCAAAAATAACGAGGTATTAACTGAGACTGGAGGAACCCTGGAAAGCATGGCCCCTGGATTCTCTATCAGGCCAGAACTAAAACAATTTCCGAGGCCAACTCTTCAGACAGGGATTGAACTGGACTGTGTGACGTAAAGGGATACTCATGAGGACTGTGCCTCTTAGATGAAGTAGATACAAGAGACTAAACGGGTGGCTTCTGTCCAGAGGTGAGATGGGAAGGCAGAGAGGGTTAGGAGCTGGTTGAATGGACGTGGGAAATCAGGGGTGGAAAGGAGGAGTGTGTTGTCACAGTATGGGGAGAGCAATTAGAGTCATATAACAATGTATGTATAAATTTTTGTATGGGAAAAGATAAAAAACAATAGATTGGCTTATAAAATAAATAAAATCACCAGTGAATACTGTGCTCCCTTAAATAATCAACTGTATGAGCCCAAACGGTCAACATTTACCATAAAACAAAGATGAGAAGCTAATGAGGGGCAGGGAAGCTAGATTAATGGAAACAGAACAAAAAGAATGGAAATAACTGAGAATGTTGACACATTGTGAAAAATGTAACCAATGTCATGGAACGAGTTGTATAAAAATTGTTAAATAGGAACCTAATTTGCTATGTAAACTTTCACCTAAAACACAATATTTAAAAAAAAAAACGACGAGGTATTAGTCAGACCCACTCTGACATTTCTTAGTTTCATTACTGCAGGAAACCGGGCACTGACCACATGATTACTTTGTTTTTTAAAGGAAGTTGGCATTTTGTTGGTCAAAAACAGAATTTGCACAATTCAATTTCTGAAGTTTCCTTTATTTTGAGGTTACCAAAGTACTCCAAAGCAAAGCCGCTTCTAGGGAGTTCAAGAGAGATGCTCTGTGAACCGTTCATCAGAGACACACCATGATATCCTGTCTCCATACAGGGCTGGGGCGTCAGACACATCACATTTGTGGACAATGCCAAGGTCTCCTACTCCAATCCCGTGAGGCAGCCTCTCTATGAATTTGAAGATTGCCTAGGGGGTGGTAAGGCCAAGGCCCTGGCTGCAGCAGACCGGCTCCAGAAAATATTCCCCGGAGTGGTATGTTGATGCTTTTGGGGAACATCAGAGGTTTTCTCCTGTATCTTTAAGTGTTTGAATCTTGGGGAACGAGGCCCTGTGGTATTGGTGAAATAGAGCTCAACATCTGCCACTTGCTACCAGGCACTCATCACATGGCTGGGCCTCTGTGTCCTGATCTTGGAGATGGGGATTAAAAACAAAACAAAACTCTCATGTATTATTGTGAAAATTATACAAAGAATGTATGGAAAAATGTAAGTTGCACAGTGTTATATGAGTTTAAGTTGAGGATTTGTGGGCTATGTATATTTTTATATCCTGCCTTGTTCAAAAATAATATTTGTGGTGGCTCAAATGTAGGATATTGTTTTTTCTCCATTACCAGAATACTTGGCAGTTACTTAGTCCAGGTTTATGAAAGTAAATGGAGTACTAGTCTCTCTGTGAAGAGGGAAGATTGGGCTAAAAGTTTAGGTTTTTGCTGTAGCTACTTCTTATTTTTGAGTTGCATTCCTTACTTTAAAAGCACCAGATAATAAGAGACAAGTCATTCTGCTCATTTGACTCAAAATCTTGTGCCTTTTTTTTTTTTTTTTTTTTTTGAGGTCATCGCAAAAGAGATTCTCATCTTTCATGCTTAATCAATTTATCTGACAGGGGTTAGATTAGGTGTCTCCAAAGCATAAGCTTATACTTGAAGTGCTGCAAGAGGCTCTCAGTTCCTGTCAAAAACAGCCCGCCCTCTCAAAGTTTCTCTGCTTAGTTATTCAGTGTTAGAGTCGTCTGTTTTAGAAGTCCTTGCTTTAGAAGCAACTTTGATGTTTTTGTCCATTTCATTAGTGTACCTGAGGAACATCATTCATTGAGTTTAATTCAGCAGTATTGATTAAGCACCCACTATGTACTAATTGCCAAAAGAAATAAGTTACAGCCCTGTCATTGAGGAGGTGTATTTGTTAGTTTTCTACGTGACAATAATGTATATCGAACAATCCAAAAATCTCAGTGGCTTACAATTACAAACATTTATTCCATACTCAGGGGTCTGCAGGTTGGCTGTGGTTCAGCTGCTGGGCTAGGCTGGACTCTAGGCTTTGAGTCAGGCTCAGGTCTGCTCTGTATGTCATTATTTCAAAGTCTATGCTGAAGGAGTAACTGTCATCTGGGCCCTACTCTTGTAGTGGTGGAAAGTGGAAGCCTAAAAGGGTTGATGAAAACTTACCATGCCTTTTATAACATAGTTTATAAAGAAAATGTTCTACATCCTACTTTGGTGAGTAGTGTTTGGGGTATTATGAGCAGCCATCTAAGATACTCCATTGGTCCTACCCTGTCTAGAGCAAGGGAGAATGAAGACAACCAAAGACACAAGGGGAAGATTAGTCCAAAGGACTAATGGACCCTGACTACCACAGCTTCCACTAGACTGAGTCCAGCACAACTAGTTGGTGCCTAGCTACCACTACTGACTACTCTGACAGGGATCACAATAGATGGTTCTGGACAGAGCTGGAGAAAAATGTAGAACAAAATTCAAACTCACAAAAAAAGACCAGACTTACTGGTCTGACAGAGACTGGAGAAACCCTGAGAGTATGACCCCCAGACACCCTTTTAACTCGGTACTGTAGTCACTCCTGAGGTTCACCCTTCAGTAGAAGATTAGACAGGCCTGTAAAACAAAACAATAATACACGTAGCTTAACCTTGTATATGAGACTAAATGGGCATACCAGCCCAGGGGCAAGGATGAGAAGGCAAGAGGGGACAGGAAAGCTGGACGAATGGAAATGGGGAACCCAAGGTCGAGAAGGGGAGACTGTTGACATGTCTTGGGGTTGGTAGCTAATGTCCCAAAACAATATGTGTATTAATTGTTTAATGAAAAACTACTTTGCTCTATAAACCTTCATCTAAAGCATTGTTTTATATATACATGTATATATGTGTGTGTGTGTGTATATATATATATATATATATAAACTCACCATGCCTTTTAGAATCTCAGCTCCACAATGGCACACTGCCATGTCATCCATTCCTGGCACACTGCCATGTCATCCATTCCCATTGCCAAAGCGAGTCATGGGGCCTATCCCAAAGTCAGTGGGGTTGGTCTATACACACTGCCTTCCCTAGTGGGAGAATGTGTGAAGTCATATGGTAAAGAGCTTGGTGTATAATTCTCTTAGACTAGGGAAGTGCATAGTTGGGAAGAATAATCCAGACTATCACTGGAGAGTATTATGAACTCCCCATGGGGCCTAGAGAGACATGGCCTTGAATCTGAGCTCTGCTACTTATGGGCTGCTTGAAATTTTTCCTTTCCCAAATCCTAGCCGTTGTCTATGACCCAATACCATTCTGTCTGTTTATTTGTTCTGTTATTCTGTTACTTATCAACTCATTCATAAAATATTTATTCAAGGCCTACTATGTGCTAGGGACTGGGAACAAGACAGACATTATCCCCTCACCTCTATGGAGTGGACAGTCTAAGGGGAAGATGGTTAGTAACAAATGTCTTAGTCACCTAGAGCTGCTGTAACAGAAATACCACAAGTGGATGGCTTTAACAAAGAGAAATTTATTCTCTCAGTTTAGTAGGCTACAAGTCCAAATTCAGGGCATCAGCTCTAGAGAAAGGCCTTCTCTCTCTTTCGGCTCCAAAGGAAGGTCCTTGTCATCAGTCTTCCCTTGGACTGGGAGCGTCTCAGTGCAGGAACCTCAGGTCCAAAGGACGCGCTCTGTTCCCGGTGCTGCCTTCTTGGTGGTACGAGGTCCCCATGTGTCTCTGCTCACTTCTCTGTTTTATATTTCAAAAGAGATCGGCTTAAGACACTATCTAACCTTGAAGACTTCATCAGTGTAACTGCTGCTAATCCATTTTATTACATCATAGTGATAGAGTTTACAACACATAGGGAAATCACATCAGAGATCTCATTGAATACCCTGAGCACTTAATTGACACCAGAAAGGCCATCAAACTAGAGATAAAAACTGAAGCCACAAAGCTTCTAAAAGAAAGCATCTTAGTGATCTTGTGGTAGGCAAAGATATTTTTAGGACCCAGTGAATACTGACCATAAATGAAAAATTGAAAACTTGGACTTCATCAAAATTAAAAACTTCTCAAAAAAAAAAAAAAAAAGTTGCCATGGAGTAGATTAGAACTGTGCTCCATAGGGTTTTCGGTGGCTAATGTTTTGGAAGTAGATTGTCAGGCCTTTCTTCTGAGGTGCCTCTGGGTGGACTCAAACCTCCAACCTTTTCGTTACTAACTGAGTGCATTAACCATTTGTACCGCTCAAGGACTCCAGACACCATTAAGAGAATGAAGAGGTTGGCCGAAACAGAAAATATTGACAATACATATATTTGACACATTTTATGCAAAATACATAAAGAACTCCTACAACTCAATTATAAGAAGACAATCAGTTCCTTTAAAGGGGCAAAAGACTTGGACAGCCACTTTTACTTTGCACTGAAGATCTGTGAATGGCCAACGATGACATGAAAATACTCAACATCAGTAGTCATCAGGGAAAGACAAAACTATAAAGACGTATCACTACATACCCACTAAAATGTCTAAAATTAAAAAGACTGACAATGCTAAATATTGTCAGAATGTGAAGCAGCTAGAACTCTCATACTTTGCTAGTGAAACACCAGTTTGGAAATCAGTGTAGCAGTTTCCCATAAAGTTAAATATGCATCTACCCTATGACCTAGCAATTCTACTTCTAGATATTTACCTAAGCGAGATGAAAACATATATACACAAAAAGACTTGCACAAGAATGTTCATAGTAGCATTATTCATAATAGCCAAAATCTAGAGAAAACCCAGCTAGTCATCAGCAGGAGAATGAATAAACAAATTGTGGCATATTCATACAACAAAAAGGAATGCACTGTTGATACCTATCAGTATGGATGAACCTCAAAAGCATTTTGCTGAGCAAAAGAAGCCAAACACACAAGTATATTCTGTAGATACCACTTATGTGAAGTTCTAGAACAGGCAAAACTAATCCATGGTTAAAGTTAGAACGGTGGTTGTCTTGAGGGTAGTGAGGGTCACCTGGGAAGGGGCACGAGAGTGTCCTCTGAGGTGGTGGAGATGTTCTGTATCTTGATAGCTATACAGGTTACAGGGCCTTATGCAGTGATGAATCTGCTATTTGTCAAAACAGATTGAACTAAACACTTGAAGTCTGAGTATTTCACTTATGTAAATAACACCTCACCCTGGCTGCATGTTTGATCACCCGGGAGCTTTAGGAAATATTGATGCTTGGGTCCCCTCTCAGAGGTTCCAATTTAAATAGTCTAGGAACTATTATGGGTTTTAAAAACATCCTTGGTGGCTCTAACATACAGCCAAGGTTGAGAACTACTGTGTTAAATTTTGCTGGATTCCAGCCTCAGGAGTGTGGCCCTAAATACTGTGCCAAGAGCTACCCCTAAGTCAGGTTGTTGTTGCATTTTTGTGTGCCATGGAGTCAATTCCAAATCATAGCTACCCAATGTGACAGAGTAGACAATGTGACTGCCCAATAGGTTTTCCCAGGCTGTAATCTTTACAGGAGCAGATCCCCAGGCTTTTTCTTCTGCAGAGCTACTGGTTACATTCGAACTGCCAAACGCTTAACCATTGTGCCACCAGGGCTCCTGAAATTTTAGCAAGTAGAGATCCATTAGGTTAGCGGAGTTTTTTCTTTATGTGGGTAGGGATCAGTTACTATATTTCTCAAAAGGTCAGAGTTGGAATTGAGTAATTATGCTTGAATCTTGGTATCATTAGAATACCTCAATAATAGCTTTTTGGATCAAGCTACTGTAGTTTAAAATGTTTTTTTGTCAATTGTAATATACCAGTAAGGTGGTATTATTAGTATTGTAATTACTACTACTATAGTTGCTTTTATTACTCTTGATTGCAGTATTTGGTACCTAGTAAATGTACAACGCTTATTTATTAATTTAGTAACTTGCTTACTTACTGAGTTCTTGATAGTTGTGTTTGTGGTGTTCTCATTGTCGAAATGAACTTGTCTGTGAACCTTTCTTCTTTCTGAAGGCCTTGCTGCTTGGGGCCCTTTCCTGCTTGGCTTGCAATTTTTTCCTGCCTATTCTTTTTCATGTTGCTGCTATTGTTACTGCTGCCCTTTTTTAGAATTCCAGAGATTAGGTTTATAAATTTACGATAAGGACAAAGTGTCTATGATCTACAAAATAGATTTTCCTTTGTAAAGGACCTACTTGCCCTGCACCCTGAGCCATTTTTCCAGTAGGTAAGGGGTTTTGGCAAATGAATGAAAAAAGTGATGTTTTCACAGGCTTCCCTGTGGCCAGTGGTTTGCAGTTTGTGATTGTAGAACACTTTTCTTTCCTGTGGAAAGTTAATCTCCCTGACTCCATTAGCACTCACATGTGATTCACTGTTACTCTGCCAAGACATTGTGGGGCCATCCACTGGAAAATGGTAAATTACAGAGCGGTTCTAGAGCCTCTAGGAAAGATCCTGGGTCTTCACAATTCAAGCAGCTGGGCAGCCTCTACTATTGGGCAGGGAGCAAAGCCTGTCTTCTGTCACCCCCATTTCCCACCCCCAAACAAACATCTACAAACTCTAAGTAGATTTACTGGCTGAAAGTTAGCAAAGAGAGTTGTTTTTTTTTTAATGCATATGCCTTTGAGAGGATTAAGACAAGACCATCAGTCATTCCAATCTAATGTAGATTTATTAAATCAAATTATTTTCATGATAACACCAATTTGGAGATGTTGTACACTAAGGGGACGGAGGGGAGAGCAGTTTTGGAGAGGCAGCCTGGCTGGAAAGAGGGTACTTGGGCTGTCAGAGGGCATCATGATGAGGTTTCTTGGCCTCAGATGGTAGGAAAGAGCCAAAGATACACAGTGTTCTCCTTGCCTAGATGAGAAGTGACCCTCACTCTGGAACTGAGATCTCTGCTTGCTGCTTTGTCCTATTTCAGGTACTCTGGGGTGACAGTGCAGGTGGTCTAGGATGCAGAAGTGAAGAAGCTGAGGGCATGGGTAGGATAAGTAAAAGCAGCCTAATCACGCACAGAGAAATTTCTGGTAATAAGTGGCCACGCATACCTGCGTGTAGCTATGGGGAAACATGGACTGTGAGATATAGTCTGTCTCTTTGCTTCAGATATAAATGCATCTGGTTGTTTCCCTAGAATGCCAGAGGGTTCAATATGAGCATCCCCATGCCTGGGCATCCAGTGAACTTCTCCAGCGTCACCCTGGAGCAAGCGCGCAAGGATGTGGAGCAACTGGAGCAGCTCATCGAAAGCCATGATGTCATCTTCCTGTTGATGGACACCAGGGAGAGCCGGTGGCTTCCTGCTGTCATTGCTGCGAGCAAGAGAAAGGTAGAGTACATAGAGTACATGGAGTCTAGGGCTGCCATCTCTGCCTGTGACTTAATGCACCATCACCCTAAGGGAGAAGTGTCCTCAGTCCTCCCTTCCCCCCAAAAAGAGGTGTAATTTGTGTGACCTGGTGACAGGTACCAAAGGGCCTCCACCTCAGACTCTATCTTTGCCTCACACACCATCATCCAATATAATATATATTGTTTGCTGTTCAATTTTCATAACCATCCTTTGAGGTACACCACACTAGAAGGTGTATTAACACTGAAATGTAAGCTCCAAGAGGACAAAGTCTTTGTTTTATTTACTGCTTTTGCTCAGTGACAGCTTCAGCAACTAGCAGTATTGAATGGTTAAACAAATCATGGTATGTATACATAGTGGAATGGTACATAAAACCAAAAACAAAACCCGTTGCTGTTGAATCGATTCCGACTCATGGAGACCCCATGTGTTACAGAGTAGAACTGCTCCATAGGTTTTTCTTGGCTGTAATCTTTATGGAAGCAGACTACCAGGACTTTCTTCTGTGGTGTCGCTGGGTGCGTTCAAACTGCCAACTTTTAGGTTAGTAGTCAAGCACTAATCGTTTGTACCACCCAGGGGCCTGAATAGTATGTAGCTATTCACAATTATGTTTTCAAAGCATTTTAATGATACGGAAAGACACATTATGTTAAATAAGTGAGGTAAAACATCATACATATATTATGTCAGTTATGTTCCTCTGTGTGCGTATGTGTAGAGAGAGAGAGAGAAATAGAGAAAGTAGGGGTGGGGGACAGGAAGGGAGAAGATAGAGGGAAAGAGAGAAAATAACAAAGATATACTCAAAACTGTTAATAGTGGTTGTTGGAACTGCGGGATTGTGAGCAAGTTTTGTTTTCTTTTGTAGTATAGTTTAAATTTTTTTTCCAACTTTATAATCAGAAATTTGGGAGGAAAAGTTAAATTACAGCTAAGAGAAGTTCTTATAGTATAAACGAAAAAAACTATTCTTAAAATTTATGTGGGAGGTGAATTGCGTAGTATGTGAATTATACAATTCGAAAAAGCTTTGATTAAAAAAATGTAAAACTGTGGACATGACAGAGAATAGCATAATGGTGGAAAGAATGGACTTGAGAACTGTATAGACCTGATTTTATACACCTGCCCTACCTCTTAGCAGCTAAGAGACCTTGGGCAAGTTCTAGAACTAACCTCTCGGACTCATTATCCTCTTTGTAAATGGGAAATGTTTGTGGGGAGTTTTAAAAGAGATTAAATGAGATAATTTGTGCAAATCACTTGTCAAGTCTTTTGCACTTAATAAGCCCTCAGTATCGAGTAGTTTTATCATTAGCTTCTAGAATCTGATTATGCTGTATTTTAATACTTATGAAATGAATAAGAAAAGTTGACCAAATATGAAATTAGCCATGGCTTAAAATATGTTTGTCTCTTAATTTAACCATTGTCTTTTATTCCTTGAAACCTGCAGCTGGTCATCAATGCTGCATTGGGATTTGACACGTTTGTGGTCATGAGACATGGCCTGAAGAAACCTAAGCAGCGAGGAGCTGGGGTCTTGTGTCCCAGCCACCCTGTGGCATCTGCTGACCTCCTAGGCTCATCCCTTTTTGCCAACATCCCTGGCTACAAACTTGGCTGCTATTTCTGTAATGATGTGGTGGCCCCAGGAGATGTAAGTGGATTTCTTCCAGTTATTTCCTCTGGCCATCTTGTTCGCTGGGGCAAAGAGACCCAGCTCTTTTATGACTATTTAAATATTGTCTTTTAACAAAGAGAAGAATTCTCCATTTCTCTAGGGAGGACATTATCCCACTATGAGCCTTGATTGGCATCATCAGCTACATGCAGCTGTTCCCTGTTCACTAATATAAATGCAGGTGCAAACCATTTTGGGGGAAGACTCAGCAAGGAAGTCTCAGGATAGGGTGGTCCCAGGTAGCACTCAGCATTGTCTTCTATGCTTATCTTAGTGAAGAGAACATTAAATGAGGAGTCTAAAGTCCCAGGTTCTAGCCTGGACTTGGACACTGCCTCACTGGGTAATTCTGAATAATTCTCTCAGGCTCCCTGTGCCTCTGCAAAATGGGGGTAGCATTGTCAGATTTAGCAAATGAAAACACAGGATGCCCCATTAACTTTGAATTTTAGGTAAACAATGTATAATTTCTTAGTATAAGCGTGTCCCATGCAATATTGGAGACCTACTTATACTAAAAAATTATTGGGTGTTTAAAATTCAAATTTAATTGAGAGCATCCTGTATTTTATCTGGCAACTCTAGTAGGGGAGGGAAGAATATTTGTCCTGCCAAAGCAGTATTATTGTTGTTGTGTGCCATCAAGTTGATTGTGATTCATAGTGACCCCATGTGACAGAGTAGAACTGCCCCCATAGGGTTTTCTTGGCTGTAATCTTCACAGAAGCACATCACCAGATCTTTCTCATGCAGAGCCATTGGGTGGATTCAAATTGCCAACCTTTGCGTTAGCAGCTGAGCGCTTAACCGTTGTTCCACCAGGGCCCATTAATCACAGTGTAAGGTACGTCAGATGGGAAGGTTCTCTGAACAGCAAGCATCTCACTGTACAATGGAAGATCCTATCGCGTTAAAGACACCACGCTAGTCAGAGGGCGTAGGAAAGGTTTTTTATCAGGACAGATACTGATTTCTAGTGAAGTAAAGCAGAGATGTTTTCTGTACCCTTCGCTCTATTTCCTCCTTCATTTGAAAGTTGTTCCTTAATAACTCATGCTTCTTTTGAATGACTGGCTCCCAGTATAAAGAAAAAAAGATAAGCATTCTCTTACGTGAAGCGTGAATATGGTCTTGATCAAGGTGTTATACTGTACTGTTGGTCGTGTTATTTCCTTATTGCCAACAGTAAGGATCAATTACAGTAAAGTCACATCTGTTCACAAGGCAAAATTTTCAGAGTCAAAATTGTCCCTAACCACCTCTTAGTTTGCCCAGAGTTGGAAGATTGGCTTGTGTTTAGAAACTACATTGTAGCAAAATTGTTGTTATTGTTGTTGTTAGTTTCCATTGAGTGGGCTCCAACTCAGGGTGACCTTATGTGTAGCTGAACAAAGTGTTGCCTGGTCTTATACCATCTTCATGATCGTTGATACATTTGAGTCCTTTGTTGTGGCTACTGTGTCAGTCCATCTCACTGAGGGTTTTCCTCGTTTTTGTTGACCCTCTACTTTACCAAACATGATGTCCTTTTCTAGAGACTGATCTTTCCTGATAACATAAGCAAGCCAAAATCTTGCCATCCATGCTTTTAAGGAACATTTAAGCACTCAGGGTGATCACACTCAGGGTGATGAGATGTCCACACTGTGGGAGGCACGCAGGAACTGAGGACTGCAGGAATGGCACAGTAATGGCTCCACTCTGAAGCATTAACTCCTTGATTAGAATGGCAGGGCACAATCACCTGTGCTCATCAATTATTCCTCTCTTTGTCTCTTTAACTGCTAAGCACAGAAGAGTGGAATTGAGTTAAAGGAGCATATGATGCAACTGTACTATACGATGCATCCAGGCTATAATTTTTGGTTGATGCCTCTCAATCTTTAATTTATTCGTAGTTGCTAATCATTTTTAGCATATTGCCTCATTTGATTACCTAAGTTGTGTATCTTGTTTTTTCTTGATACTCCCAAGAAATATTATTTGAGGTCGGATGTTCTTTGCCTAGGTGAGCATTTGGTTATATTGTATGGCTTTGTCATGGAGGCACTTCATGCTTCAGACAACTAGAGTTCAGCAGAATAGCGCTTCATCATGTGGCAATGATTGTTTCTCTGCAGTCAACCAGAGACCGGACCTTGGACCAGCAGTGCACTGTGAGCCGCCCAGGACTGGCCATGATTGCAGGAGCCCTGGCAGTGGAGTTGATGGTTTCTGTTTTGCAGCATCCAGAAGGGTGAGTTTGCTGTTTGGAGATGGGTGTTTACACAAAGGAGGCTTTCAGAGGCAGTTGTTCATCAGTGTCTCCCTTGGCCTTTTTTGATTCTGACTCTTCTGAGAATTTTATTGGTCTTTCTGTGCTCAACGACACAGGATTAGATAGGAGTTATTGCTTAAGGGGTACTGAGTTTCTTTTTAGGGTGATGAAAAGGTTTTGGAAATTGTGATGGTGGTTGCACAACATGGTGCATATAATTAAAGTCCCTGAATTGTACACATAAAAATGGTTGAAATGGCAGATGTTTTGTTTTATATATATATATATTTCACCACAACATAAATTTTTTAAAAATTGTTAAAATGAAAAATTTATTGTTATATATATTTTACCATAATTAAAAACAGGCTAACAAATGAAAGAGCAAGACTAGGAAAAAATCCTGGCCTGATTCTTTGGCCTGAGAGAACATGTCATGAGATCGTTAGGGCTGAACTTCTGTATCCTTCTGGAGTTGACTTCTCCTAGAGTTACTTGGTAACTGATGCTAAGAAGAATAAAAATTTTGGTAGGGCCTTAGGACTTTGATGTTTTAATTCTGTTAGCAAGTTTTGATCTACTTAAGCCTGGACGTTTGTAAGACAATACATGAATCCTGTTGTCGTTAGGTACTGTCAAGTCAGTTCCGACTCATAGCAACCCTATGCACAACGGAACGAAACACTGCCCGGTCCTGTGCCGTCCTCACAATTGTTGCTATACTTGGGCCCATTGTTGCAGCCATTGTGTCAGTCCATCTCCTTCAAGGTCTTCCTCTTTTTCGCTGACCCTCTGCTTTACCAAGCATGATGTCCTCCTGCAGGGACTGATCTCTCCTGGTAGCATGTCCAAAGTATGTGAGACGTAGTCTCGCCATCTTTGCTTCTAAGAAGCATTTGGTTGTACTTCTTCCAAGATGGATTTGTTCGTTCTTTACATGAATTCTGTATGTTAGAAATTGCATTTGGCTGTATGTAACAGAGACCCACCTTTAGCCAAACGGGGCTTTATTTTTCTTATGCAACAGGAAGTTCAGCAGTAGGTGGTTCAGGGCTGATACAAAGGCTCTGTTATGCCATCAGTAACTTGGATTCCTTCTTATTATTCACTCAGCCACTCTTGGCTTTCTTCCTTGTCCTCGTCAGCTTGTAGTCACAAGATGGCTACTCTACCTCCCATATTGCTTCTGTGTAACAGTTAAGAAGAAAGGAATGACTGAAAGATAAAAGTTGTGGTGAGCTGAGTTTGCTGTCTTTGAAAGAGCCTTCCTAGAAGACTCACCCATTGATTCTAACTCCTGTATCAAATGGCCACTCCTAGCTGCAAGGAAGACAGAAAAATGTAGGTTTTTTGGCTGGACACATTGCCTCCCTGAATAAAATTGGGATAAGGAAGAAGAGGAGAATGGATGTTGGGTATGCAACCAGCTGTGTGTCTGCTATACTAATTTTTTAAAATTCTTTCTATAGATGGAATGTTTCTGGAAAATATATCCAGAAGATATTATTATTGCTTATATAGTTGATATTCTTTTAGTTTTACCAACATATTTTCCTCTTTTGTTTGTTTTTCTTTTCTTTCTGAAGTTTTCAAGCTTCTATTGAGGGCATTTTTCTTTTTTTGAATTTTTTTTTTTAATTGTACTTTGGATGAAGGTTTACAGAACAAGTAGTTTCTCATTAAACAGTTAGTACACATATTGTTTTATGACAAAGGTTAACAACCCCACAACATGTCCCTTCTCAACCTTGGGTTCCCTATTACCAGCTTTCCTGTCCCCTCCTGCCTTCTAGTCCTTGTCCCTGGACTGTTGTGCCCCAATAGTCTCATATTGTTTTATGGGGCTGTCTAATCTTTGGCTGAACAGTGAACCTTGGGAGTGACTCCATTACTGAGCTAAAAGGGTGTCCAGGGACAATACTCTCGGGGTTTCTCCAGCCTCTGTCAGGCCAGTAAATCTGATCTTTTTTGTGAGTTAGAATTTTGTTCTACATTTTTCTCCAGCTCTGTCCGGGACCCTCTGTTGTGATCC